AAATTTTAAGTGAGCTCAACAATGTCAAGTAGCGAGAGCTCAGTACCATTTCATCATAAACCAGGGAAGAATGACCATAGAACTGGATCAACCGAATGGTTCTAGAAGGCCAACCAACAGCTGGCCAAAAGGAATCTGTCGTCGTATTCTGGTGGGACTTACTCTGGGAGCTCTTTTTCACACAATATATCACACGATCTTCTGTAATGTCAAACTACGGTACATCTTCCCTTAACACTCTCAAAAAATGCAGCTTTCAGAGCCAAATGTTGCCAGAAAAGACAAGTCGCCATCACTGCCTTTATGTAAAATAAAAACAATCAAGAATCGTATCCACACGTTTGCTCGTGTTTTCATATATCAGTTCATGTATATGCGAGTTTAACGCTTTTCCTTAAACAAGATGTTGTCGCCTCTATTTTGGTCGCAGACCCCTTTCGATGTGTTGATGTGATCTGACCTGGTTTTCGCAACTTGGTCGCGTTGTCTAGGCGACTTAGTTGGACGTTCCTTGTCCAAAGTTCGCTGCCATTATAATTATCATTATTCCGTAAACCTAGAATATTCTCAAATCCGTGGTCCAACGTTTGGAGATATGATATCTTCTATAGAAGTGCATCCAACTAATTCCCTTTGGCGACAGGACCAAGTTGCGAGAACGAGGTCAGACCACATCTATCCCGGTTTCTTTTTCAATCATAATTTCTCCTCGTTTCAACTCGCTTTCTTCGTTCTCGTCGCCTCCTTTCTTCCACCCACCCGATACCTGACCCAAGGTCTGCACACTGGCAGGACGGTGGCGGGAGTGGTCGGCATCAAAATGCCGCGATACTGCCTCTTCGGCGACACCGTCAATATCGCTCTTCAATTAGAGGCGACAGGAGCGGTGAGTTTTCCCATTTTGACCTTTTGCAAAACCTTATGTCCTTTCGCCAAAAGTCCATTGGGTTCACTGATTTGCACTGTAACTGAAAGTTGGTGGACCAAACTTCTAACTTGTCAAAGTATGGTACATCTTGCGTCAGCACCATCGAAAAATGCAGCTTTCAGAGCCAAATGCTGCCAGCAAAGGCAAGTCACCATCACCGCCTTCAAAATAATGATGTATCTCAAAATCGTGATGCTCTGCACACTCGTGACGAGAGAATATTCGCTTAGCGACTGATAGGAGTCTTCCTATCAGTACTGATTTTTGGATGCCAATGAATTTCACTCCAAACGAGATTTGTAACCGGCACACATAATTACTCCATTACATTTAACCCTCATACACACACACATACACACGCACAAGCAGAGCCGAGAGGCAAGTTGGCCACGAGGAAAATGTGAATTGCAAGGAAAGCTAGGCCTCTACCACATCACCTTTTCTAGATGGATCAGCGACGAG